GATCTTCTACAACCAATATAATCTTCTACAGAATGTATTTCTATTGCAAGCAAAAATTTCAAACAGGCAAATATTTGTCACTACCACAAAGAATTTTCAATATTCACAAAAGAAATATATTACTGGCCCTCTTTTAACAAATATGCAGCATTCAAACTGCTGATGCATATGAATTTCAAAAACATTACAAACAAGTTAAACATTTTTTATGGCATAATATTGATTTGGCCACTGAAAATTAGAACCAACATTCTCCAAAACAGGATAACACACGACGTGTTCAAATATCTCAGTTATAAGCCTATCTGCTAACAGTATAATGTACAGTGACCACTTCTGTAACAACACTCGGAAGGATACGCTGGACCCAGAATGACAAAATAAAGCAGATTTATGCCAAAGACACAAGCTGTCCCCTATTACTATAAACTCACAAGAGACAACTTCAAGCTGATTTACATCCAGTCTGCACCTTGTTTCAAGAATTTATCTTGATGTCACTAGAATTTCTATTTTGCAAAATATGAGAACTGAAGACTGAAAATTACACAAAGAGACTAAACTTGTACAGGGTCCGGCAGAGGAATATGATGTTTTTGGATTGGTTAAAACTGCAGGCAGATGGAGTCAGGCTTCACATTTCGATCTGAACTTTCATCCTTACAAAATGATGGTTGTCCAGCAGTTAAAGCCAACTGATTGGGAAAAACGTCAAACTTTCACTGAAGCCACGCTCGAAACGTTAGATGATGACCTGGTTGTTCTTATGAGTGACGAAGCGCATTTTCACCTAACTGGCTGTGTGTTAATAAGCAGAATTTTCGATATTGGTCGCAACAGAATCCAAGACAACTTCATGAACGTCCCCTTCATTCTGAACGTATTACCGTGTGGTCTGGGGTGGCCAATTTCAGCATAATTGGTCCGTATTTTTTTGAAGTAAATGGACATGTGGTAACTGTTAATTCTGAACGTTACATTGCCATGTTGCGTGACTTCCTCTTGCCAGAACTTTGCATATATCGCATTAACCCCAGATGAATTTGGTTCCAACAAGATGGGGCGACTGCCCATACGTCAAGGGCTTCGATGGAGGTTCTAAAACAAATGTTTCCCGAGCATCTCATTTCTCACCGCGGAGACATACCGTGGCCCCTCGTTCACCTGACCTTTCACCGTGTGATTATTTTCTATGGGGTTACCTCAAAGGAAAGGTTTACATAAACAAACCACACACTACCCAGGAATTAAAAGATGCAATTCGTCAGTAAGTTCAGGCGATTCCACGAGATATGGTTCAGCGTGCAATGCAGAACTTCACTAACAGACTGCAAGAATGTGTTCGCAGAAATGGTCATCATTTGGAGGACATCATTTTTAAATTCAACAATCAACTTTCTAAATTTGGTTTTTATCGGATCATAAATGGCACCTATTTCTCTTTAAGTAAAAAAATATTTTTTTTTGTTTTTTATCAAACTACAACTTTGTATTATCATTTCAAAAACCAAGTTCCCCTGCCGAACCCTGTACATCAAAATATTTTCTCAAGCTCCATGGCAGTTTGAAGGAAGACAAGAGACGGGCAGGAAATAATTCATATGTTATATTTTGATGACAGATGATTCTCTGCATACTGCATACTAAGTACACGACACAGAAATCTAGTCCTACAAAGAGATATGTTAAAAGCAGGGTTTGAGGTTTTCATGGCAGTAAGTCTGAAGATGGCCGTCTTCTGGGTTGTTGCGCCATGTAGTCTGGTAGGAGTTTACCGACATTTCAGAGGTCCTTGCTGCCTCCATCATCACCCTGAAGACGGAGGCAGCAACCTCCAAAACGTCAGTAAACTTCTACCAGACTACATGACCCAACAACCCAGAAGACAGCCATCTTCATTTTAAAAGTAATTTATTCTTATATATATGATCAAAAGCTTTCATAATCATGTGTGGTAATGCAATGCTTAATATTCAACATAAAGCAAAATCAGAAATCTTTCTCTTCTTACTTTCAGAAACTTTCATCACATCTACCAAATATGGAATAAAAACACGTAATCCAGTGAACTTCCCTTTCTCCTATGTTTAACCACAAAAGCTTTGATATTTTGTTTCTGTTATCTACTACTGAAACTGCCATTGGACTACAGTCTTTTAACACAGTCGCACGACTGTTCCCACATTCAATAAGCCTCGCCAAGGCCCGGGCATTCAACTAGACAGTTCCAAACCCCTTAACACTTGTATCAGATGTGAACGAATGTACTCAGCAGAGGGAACAGGTCAAAATAGCTGGGCAGAAGGCCTGTACTGCACAGTGGGTGCTCAAGCATATGCCAACCATACTATATATAACATGAATTCCCAGGTACAATGCTGTATGTGGCTGGTCAATATCACAGAGGAGAATGACACCCTGACTTTCTTCAACATGTTTTGCATTACTCTTTTAGGAGCAACATATAAATTCTTGCAGTCTAAGTGCAAGTACAGATTTAACTGGCACTAAACCATCTAAATGTGCTGAATGTTACAAAAAACACAACTTGTGGGACTGTGTCACTATGTGATCACTTTACAACAGAAAGAACATACACTCTGTAGAAGTCGGATAGATATCCATTTATGAAGAACCTTTAAAACCCTATACTAAATTAACAAAACTAATCCAAAAACATGACCATTTTGTATGTCATGCAACAGTCATACCTGCCTGCCAGAGTGGAATGAAAGCCATTTTAAAACAAGAGTGTGATTTAGCTACACAATCAACCAAAAACCAGCAATTACCTGATCAAGGATGTAATTCCTTCTGCGGTAAGATGCAACATCCAGCAGCTTCATCAAGCACTTTGTGCACTTGTCAATAAGTACATCCCAGCGGCCAGCATAGTTCCTCTTCCTTGGCAGACCCATCAACTAAAATATTCCACAAACACACAGAAGATGTTTTAAAAGTTGGTTTAAAAGATGGTTTATTCTAGAAACACCTGAGGTAGCCTACATTTGATGCATGTTCCAGAAGTTGACTCAATTCCCATCTTTAGGTATGTGGCCGTCATTTTATTGACATACTATTTACTTTCCAGGCAATATTATGCTTTCATGGAAGCATGAAACACCTTACTGGCATGTCCTATCCAAACGCCTGTCAAGCCTTTCCTCTGTGGTGACCTCATACTTACCACAAATACAAATACCATGCGTCAGCTGGCTTATCACTTTCCACCAATGACTAACAATAAATCCAGGACCGCTTAGAGACTAGGCCAGAATTGAACTCATTGCCAAGACAACAGACCCCCTAAAATTTTGCATCAGGCATGAGAACAAGAGGGAAACAAAGGTAACATCCTCATCATTATTAGGCATTTTTTGCACAAATTGCACGGAGAGAACACGTTGGGCTTTGCTTGTTTTTGTGAACTGTTCAGATTTTTCAAGAAAGCATTTGTTTTACTGTCAGTACAATTGTCTTACATTTTTCAGCCATTTAATTTCGGAACCGTAAGTGTTAACTAGCACATTCACCAAAGCGACGCACAACACAACATAAAGGAATTGACTGTAATATGACACTAATAATATCTGAATATTAGACTAGCACATTTACCACTAGAATTAAAACCATAGAATACAATGACATAAACCAGAATTCACCCACAATTAATATATTCAGAAAATATAGTATAAACTTTGCTCTAATGACTGCAGATTTCAGTCATAAAACATCCCCAACAAAGTCACAAGTACCACGGTGCATTTTAGAGTTCTGACAGACTAGACCCCTCATTAAAGCATGAGTTGAAATAAAGTTTTCAGACCAACCTTCATTTTATCAATCAGATTATTTGTGCCAAGAATGTTATATTTCTTGTCCAGATTCTTTGCATAATACTCATTAGCCCACACTGTTTTCCCAGCGCCAGGCAGACCACACATCATAATTATCTGCAGAAATAAATTAAAATTAATGACATGGTATGAAATACACTGTTACCAATACATGATGAAAGTATTACATCCAATCTGCCAAAATGTACCTCGCAGTCCTCTCTTCTTCCTGGACGTTTTGCACCATTAACTCTCTCGGTCAATGGCACGTGCGCCACAAAAGTGTATCCATCTGGAGGTGGAAACCAGGAACCTTCATTTCCAAAGTTACATTTGAACTTGGTATTTTTGCTTAAAATGTGTGGGAACAGAGCCTTATCCTGAAGTTCAGAACGAGTAAAGTTGTATGCTATGCCTTGTTCTTCTCCATTTAAAGTGAATGACATTGTAATTGTCTCATCATCCAAATCCTGTATCAATAAAAATTAAGTATTAAGAAAAGTATAACAAAACATACGGACACTTAAACTCGTGATTGATGACCGAATATTAAATGAAGGTAAACCTTAATTGCATATTATTAAATCGGTGCAAGTTGCACTAGAAAAATTACAGACATTAAATGGATTACCAATAAAAAAGTGGGAAAATGTGCTATATTTACAAATTTTATCCAGGTAAGTATAAAATGCATTTTTACTGAACGTTTACCACTAGGAATGAATGGGAGTCTGTCTTATATCCAAGGTAATCTTCTTGTCTAGCAAAAACAGTAACACAGTACAGGTATCTTGAAGACAGACTTTAGGATAGTACCAGCCTACTCACCAGAAGTGCTCCAACAACATCGCCAACGTGGAATGGTTTTCCATAATCCTTGAACTTGCAATCAGTTGAGGCTTTACCAGTTCCACCATAACCATAAGACAACAGTTCCTCCCCTTCACACAAAATGAAATAATGGTTAACCATCAGCACTCATGCATACAGAATTGGAAGAGTAATATCATGTGTGAGCTAACACCCATAATGCCTGGCATTAATATACAGGTGAGTCAAAAGTATGTTTACAAACTTTGTGTGCATGTTCCTGGATCAAAAACAAGAAAAAATTTCCTATAAACATGTGGATCCTAATGCTTCTTTTTGAAAATAATAGCCAAAAATAAGTTTCAATGTATGCCTGTGTTGCCAAGTAGAGGTCTTGGACTGGAATCCACAGGGGAAAAGCAAGAGAGGGAGGCTCAGACAGACATGGCGAAGACCGGTCCACGCTGAGGCACTGGAGGAAGGAAAGAGCTGGAACGAAGAGGATGGCCGTCAGCAGAACCAGGTGGCGATGCTTTGTTGATGCCCTATGTTCCGGGAGGGACAACAGGAATTGATGATAAGGACAGGGATGTTTCTTTACAACAGATGCTCAAAGGTTGCTTCTCCATTCTCCACACATGCATGAGCACAACGTACACAAGACTGACGAATTCGTTCGTACGCACCAGGGTTTCCTTGAATCATGTGGCATGCATTCTGCACACGTTCCCATAGGTCGTCTTCATTGTTTATGGGTGTTACATAAACGACAGACTTCAAGTCACCCCACAGATAAGGGTCCAATGGAATCAGGTCCGGTGACCTCGGTGGCCATGCTATTGGGCCACCGCGTCAAATCCATCGCTGAGGGTACTGTTCATTGAGATGATCTCTGACGCGACATGAGAAGTGTGTTGGGGCTCCGTTGCACATAAACCATATTTGTCTTCTTCTATTCAATGGTACATCTTCAAGGAGATGTGGCAAGCGCCTTCTTGAGAATCGCTAATATGATATTTTTGGCTATTATTTCGGAAATGAAACATTTGTGACCTCATTTTGATAGGGACATTTTTTTTTATTGGCTATTATTTCGGAAATGAAACATTCGTGACCTCATTTTCATAGGGACATTTTTTTTTATCCTGGAACATGCACACAAAGTTTGTAAACATACTTTTGACTCACCTGTATATTGTAAATAGTAAGTAGGCAGAACAGTAGTTGAATGTGCTCACATATGGACCCTGTATATCTGCAAGATTCAAGCATATCAATACTAGTACAGTGATCAGCTCCAAATACTTTTGAGAAGTGTGTCACACAAATTTCATAACCTGTTCAGGGTAGCCTAGAAATCCAAGCCACATCACACAAAATTGTTCAAAAATGCCATCAACAAAAAGCAAGATAATATACCAGACCATCAGCTGATAACTTACAACAGTTGTCACCGATTTCCAACATGGGAAACACAGAGAGGCATGTTCATTAAATGCATTTTGGTAAATGAGTCCCTTGCATTAAGCAGGATTACAGGAAATATGGTGCTATGAATTTTTCATACGACTTTCAACCAAAATTCATCATCTTCCTTGAACTCATGCACACTTCTCAATTGAGAACATTCATGTGAATCATATGCTTGTTGCACCATATATTTTTGGAAATCATTGTTTTGCCTTTCAATATGACACCAGTACAACATTTTTATTGCCTGTGGTAATGTAATAAAGCGTGCGTGTGATCAATACAGAATCTATTCATGCCTCTAAATTAAAAGTGGACAAAAAAGCAACAGTTACAGACAAAAGTTTCAGGTCAGAAAGTTTATGAATGGTTAGTGAGACCAAAAGCTCCTTTCATAATATCAAACATGATAAATGTGATGATTCTGAAAACACAAAGAACATTTCTGCAGGTCGAAAGAAGCTTGGTACATGATGTACACAGATTAATGTATCTCAAAAAACATTCATTTTAAAGCCTGTGAAAGCAACAGTAGTACTTACCAGAAAAAACGTAATATAATACAACTTACTTAATTGTGACTTTTAAATGATTCAGATACAAATCATTTTCATTGACATTTCTGGACGTGGCAAAAAAATAACATGTCACAAGGACAGACATTCTATGTTTAATCAGCACTGAAAATTGATGAAATTCAGCCCAACAAAATGTAAATCAAGTATGCAACACCATGTGGAAAACAAGTGTTGACATTAGCACTATGAGAAGTGAAACATTAGTATCTATGCATAAGCGCCATGTGTTTTACATGTTGAAACAGGAAAAAGATATGTGGTCAACACCAAAACATCTCAAATATATATTTATTATTCAAGTCTATACACAAACTTTTAAATTGTTGATGTTAAAATTTAAAATCACCATTAATATTCTGCGCTATTCATCGTTATCTCGATGTTACAATATTGCGCTATATATTTTACTACATGTTTCAATGTCATAGCATCATCTTCAGGTTTTTATCTTTAAAACTATTCTATATTTATTAATGCACGCCTTTCATTGATTGTAGATTGTAGATTACTGTTGTGGGTGTTCCTTTATATAGCGCAATATTGTAACATCGAGATAACGATGAATAGCGCAGAATATTAATGGTGATTTTAAATTTTAAATTTTAACATCAACAATTTAAAAGTTTGTGTATAGACTTGAATAATAAATATATATTTGAATTTTGAACACAAACATGACGCATCTAAACTATAAACCAAAACATCTGTAATAGGACATACAAAAGAGTTTCATGGGCCAGATTACATTTATTTCACCACATAGAAAACGTTTATGTATTAACACTGGAAATATTCAATAGTAAACCAGAATAAGTACAGTAAATAAGTGAAAAAGCTTACCCAGTTGCATGGAAGTGTTATCTGCAGACCAACCAACTCTTATAACATGGGGGTTTGGTTCATCTTCCAAGTGAGACACATCACAATCCTCAATCAACTGTAAACACAAAATGTAACAACTTACCACCTTTACCATTGAACTGGCTTGCCGCAGTAATTACAGAACTAATGAACTAACTCTATCCCCTCCAAAATCCAACCTTCTGTGTCCTCATCATGGAGGGAGGTAAAGTCTCTGGATGGTAAAGGAGGCAGGAGAGAGACGTCATTTTATTGCGACACATGTCCAAGGAAGCCACGACTCCACACTGAGTGTTTTGCCATGTATCATACAGTGAAGAAACACCATTAGGTTATGTAGCTGTCATATTTACTTAGAATTTAAATATTTTATATCTGATAAAGTTAAAAAATAAATATCACATCTTCCTAGTAGGAAATTCTATTTTTTTAAATTCTTTTCGGCGCATAGAGCAATCTGTCACTGATATAGGCATATTCATTCATCTTCTTATCAAGCATTCTTTTTGTATAGTGACTTCATCGTTTACACTTCACGTTGTGTTTCACTTTTATGGTGCTGAACTTTGTCTTGAACTTACGGGCACAAACAGCTCGAAAAGAAGTATAGCTCTGAGATTATGAAATTCAAAGCTTATACATCATATATCTGCATGCAATAAGAGATGTTTAGAAGTCGCCAAAGTCATATCTATTGACTTGGTCTTGCTTTATTCTCTGAAAGGCACCATTTACTATACATATCAACTGCGACAATGGTACAGACCGTGAAAAATATTTCACACAGTCAGTATTTAAACAGTAGGACTGTGATCCATTCAGAACATATTTTCACCATACTGAGGAAAGTTTCTTCTGCTTTATGCAACTTATAAAAGAATATCAAATCAGTTCATAACAGTAGTTGAATTTACATAGCTCAGTGGCATTTAAATAGACCAGCGGAGAGCCGTAGCAGTATTTAAAAGGGACTGCAAAGGGTTAACACAAGAGACCAGGTTTCACAATCGGACAAAATAAGTAAAATTATAAACTTTGTACGCAGAATGTCCCAGGAGGAATTGCACAAACTGAAGATGATATATTTACTCCTTTTCAATAGAAATGTCATATTAACATGTCCCATTCAGAAGTTATTGAAAGTGTTCAAGAGTTCAACAGGCACAACTGTGGCAAATTTTATAAATTTGCCAACTGTTAAATTCATAATTTACATCTACAATAAATGTTCAAGCTGTGCTCCATTGACAGCGCTACGCACTGCGACAACAAACTGACGGTCCTCTCATGAATGTCAAGAGTGTTCTATATTTGCTCTGCAGCATCCAATACTCTGTGAAGCAATGTATCTCAGTTGTCTTCTCTTCACAAACCAAAGACTTTCAATGACTCCAAAGATAAAAAACCAGAGGCTTGTGATTGAGTGATCTTGGTGGCCAATTAAAGGCCACCTTCACCAATTCACTGACCAAGATAAGTGTCATGTGGAAAGTCTGTTATCTGTTGGTTGAAATTTGGTGGAGCTGCATCATGCTGTAGACACATGTGAATTCATGTTACAAGAGGAACGTCCTCCAGAAGGAAACGTTCATTTTGCACAAAAATTAGGTACATTCACCAAGTAGGGCAGTAGTCAAAAATATGAAGTTCTATCAAGTTTGTTGAAAATAATGCTGAACCAAACACTTATAGAGAACTCATCCTGGAAATTACTTGGTCATACCATGATTCTCTGGAGACCAAGTTCAAAGCGACCACTGATCCACCTGCAATACTGTAACCATGTGACATAGTTTCATGGTTCTAGATGTCAAACTGGATGAATGTGATATGGACAAACAAGTTCAAAATTTATGCCAGTCAGACTGAAATGTGAGGATTACTCTGGTGTGGACTAAGTTCAATTACAGAAACAGTGTTAACCCATCATGTCTGTGGGGATGTTCTAATAAACATGTGGGAGGAATGCCACATTCCTGTAGATGTCTGTCTGAAAGATCAAACACCTGGAACTCTGTAACTGAAAATTACACAATATTCAAAATGGATCAATTTATCATCTCCAATTTGTGCATTTCCTATTGAGAAATCCTTTATTTTAATCTTAATGCTTTCAGAAATCAGATAGTACAGGGTACAGGGCCCTGAATTGCATAGAAGCACAATGCTCTTAATTTCCATATGAATGGAATTCTGATTAGTTAACATGATCTTCGAATATTTTGTCTTCGCCACATTTTCAAAGGATTGTATCATGCAGTATGGCAATGAAACTCAAACAAATACTGTCCATGTTATTTTTCCTGGCCTCTCGTTTGTGGTTGTGCAGTGGGTTTGGGCAAGACCACATTCCGACATTGCTTCACAAAGGGGCGTTTGGGTTAGTTGTGGACACGTGAGGTTGTACTGCTGACACTACCAAGTTGTGATACTAATGTACAGAACAACATTCTGCAGCTTTTAAGATGTCTCCTATCCAAATATTTTGAAATACTTTGGTGCAGTGAAAATGTCTTTTAGTGGTGTTGTTATAACTACACTACGGTGCTATAAAAATTCAGAGTTGTTCTCTGCGTGTCTCGAGTTTTGGGTATGTACAGAAGATGTTTTTCATTAGACTAGTAGTTGCGGACCAACATGCTGCAGTGAAGTACGCTGCTTCTGAGAAAGTTCCCTCACTACATCATTCAACTAGTTTCCTCTGACAATGTGATGCATAAATGACTGCAGAGATTCACTGCATTCATTTGGCTACTTGGAACAACCCAACCAAACAACCCAGACTTGATTCGATCTCTTTCCAAACCTGAAGGGACATTTGTGAGGACATCACTACTTGTGACATAAAGTCAAGACAGAGGTGGAGATGAAGTTCAATCACATTTCAACTCAAGAAAAACGAAACAAATTTTAATGAAATGGACATGTAAACATCATGCCATTGGAGACTGAAGCAAACAAACAAATTAGTGGACAAAAAGAAAACAGCATTTGAAGCTTATCTTCACGCATTTTTAATAAGAGAACAAGTTCATAAATGAATCTCATCATACACTGAAGTACACACTCATGTCTTTACACTGTCTAAGACCTACTGCTATGTTTACAATGCCACTACTTATGGCAAAGTCTGTACAGTGTAGGTAATTTAAATATATTTTAGCTAGAAGCATTAAGAATGAAGAGGTGCTAAGAATGAAAGTGGAAACTGTATTCTAGTACACATCATACTCTTCCAATCTTGGGAGATATGTGGCTCTTGCGATGGTGAGGACAACATATTCTTCTGGGTTGTGATGTCATAGATAGAAACCAATATTTTAAAGAAACACTCTGTTCATCTTCACGGTTGAAGATGAAGACAGTGCAAAGACTAGCTGCAGGTATGGGAAATAATGATTATTTGTTCCTTATGAAATTATAAGTTTTGGAACAAGCTAAACTAATGAAAATTTTGCAATAAAGATTGCAGGAAGCAACAAGGGCAGTTGTTACATTAGTCTTAGCAATTAATCTGCAAATTTCCCAAAACAAGTGGAAGTCTCTGAAGTTTGTACAGTTAAATAATAATCCGTGGCGTAACAGCCCTCTGAGAGCCAAAGCCGACTAGCTGACTGCCGGCCTCACGTTCACATGCCTAAGCAGAGGTGAACGATCATCCAACCAGATATAGGGTGACATGTGGTCAGCACGACGAACCCCCAGCCATTTCCCTGAGACTCGAACCAGCGCGCATTCTGTATCACCGGTCCAAAGCATGATGCCTCAGACCGTGCAGCTGTGACAACTGAAAATATATTCATTTGCTGCATGCTGATGGTTATTTTATATAGCAGTATATATTTTTATGACTGAATTCAGATGCCTTTGTTGGCATCTTTATCTTCTCAGTGCAAAGGTGCCTTGTACTCTGACCATTTTGTTTAATATTTTTTTACAAACATGGTACAAGATACAGAAGTTCAAGAATATTCCATTAGAGAAATAGTAAATTAAAATAACAGTACAAAAGTATCAGGGAACAACCTTACTGCATCCACACTACACAAACCATGTTATAAGAAACTTGTGTTATTAATAAACCGCATTACTTACTTTAACTTCATAGAACACCTTTCCCTGAGTGAACCCATAAGTGGCTCGTGCTCCAGCCCAGATGTAACCAAATCCATGATCAAACATCGGAGCAGCTGAAGTGAAGTTTTCTTTGTCAATAACAAGATTCAAGTCAGAGTCATCTGAAAACAAAAGTACCATATTTAGTTGGCTATACAATGATCCCCCCCCCCCAAACTAACCACCTTACTTGCACAAGTCCTTGAGAAGCAACAGTTGCTTAGCTAGTTAATAAATCTCTGCCTTTTATGGAACCCACAGGTCCATCACCATTATCACATCAGCAAGCCGCTGGTCTCTGACTCGAGTCACAACAATCCAGTCCGCAACCTCACACTCTATATCCCTATGACCCATCCTCCTGCCTACAGTTAGGTTTTCTGAGTGGTCAGTTTTGTACACATTCCTCACTTCCCTCGTCATCCTTAAAATGAACATACAAATGTCACTCTAGGCAGCCACATCTGTGAGGTGGGGTGGACTTATCTCCCCTGTGCTGTTCAGTCTGTATGTGAAAGACATACCTACACCCTCCTGTCACATTGAGCTACAATACGTGGATAACACAGCTCTCATAGCTAAATGAACAATTACTACATATCAAGATGGCAACTGTAATGTTTGCCAAAATCCTGAATAATTCAGTGTTCACGCAACACATCCTCAAAGGATGAAGTCACATATACACAGAGAGAGCCAATTTACCGTTGAAGGCTGGTAAGCAGGACATTTCATTTCCTAAGAATGTTGAAAGTGAACATAATATTTTTATGTGAAGTTCCCCCGCATCCTGAAGACATGGTATCACACGCTCAATCTACTAAAGGTAGAGTAAACTTTTCATTTTCTTCTTTTAAGATTTCTTTTAATATAATTTATTTTTCTTTAGAGACTGCAAAATCCTACCCATTAGCAATCAGCCCCGGCATTTAAACGTTGACGAGACAAGGTGTGAGGGTGTAGATTGGATTCGAACTGACTCAGGATCGGATTCAATAGTAGGCTCTCATACAAACAGCAATGGGCCTGGTTATATAAAAAGTAGGGACCTTCCTGACAAGTTGAGTGACTAGCAGCTTCTCAAGAAAGACACTGTTCCATAGAGTTACTAAGCCTATATTGAATATCCCTACAACCATAAAATGAGAAAGAACATCTTAGCTGTAAGTTGGAATGCCAGGTAAGATCACGTGATACTCGGTATGTGGGACACTACTTATCACATGATACTTAGTTATGGGGGATACTTTACTGAAAGATCATACACAGAACGTAACAGAAGAAGAATAATAAAATCCCAATAGGTATAGGAGCGACAGGAACTGTCACCAGGTTACTCAGGATATATTTGGCAAACACGACATCGGGGAATTGCAGAAGACTGCCATTTTGGGAACTTCATACATCATCCGAAAGACGCTGTTATAAAATAAAATTATATAATACATGTAATACATATTAAAAACAATACGTATCCCAGAAATAGCTGCTGCCCTATGTACCTTAGGGACAAGGTCTGTCTTGGGTACATGGAAGTACATACCCCATAAAGTAGTGAATAGATGGGATAATAATAATAATAATAATAATAATAGATGTTCTATAACCTCAGTACAGAGAATGCCTTTGTAAGATTTGCATGCTTTGAATTCTATTACATTATATATGCCTAAGTGCAGAAACTTACACCAGCTTAGGATGACAGCAGTTTCATCATAATCTGGCTCATCATCTTGTCTTCTTGGAGGACTCCTGAGGGAAAAAAAAAACTATACTTATCCCACAAACACAAAAATGATACAACACAAATGACAAGAAGGAACTTAAATATGTGTGTACTTTATAAGAATATGCAGTACCTTCTGCGAGGACTTGGGGATCGCCGCCGTTTCTCACCACGACGTTCCTCTCTGTCCCTACGGTCACGATTCTCATCTTTTGCATCAACAACCATTTTCTCTTCAGGCTCATCTTTCACTTCAATTACCTCGGCATCCTTTTCTGTCTTAATTTCTGCTGAAGCCTCTGTAACATCAATCTGAAAATAAAAAACCTTCAGCTGAAAAAATATTTTGGAGTTTCAAGTCAAATTTTAGAAACGACGTGATCTTGTTCATATTACTCTACTTTTTCAATAACCATCTCCACAGTACAAAATTCTTCTTGAGAATTTTTTATGGAACTCATTGATTCATTACTGCATTCACAAGAGGTGGTCAGTGGGCCCTATACTTAGCCAATTCAACATAGTCCATAACCTCCTACTTTATTTACTTAAGGTCTTATTTAATATTATCCTCCAATCCATCCCAGTTCTGAGGACTCTTCTCTTCAGACTCTCCAAACAAAGCCATTTATGCATTTCCCATCTCCCAATTCATGCTACATGCCCCACCCATCTGAGATTCCTTTATTTTATCATCCTAATATTGCGGAAGTTTCCTGCATCCTGGTATAACACCTCTCATCGGTCCAAATATCCTTCTTAGAACCCTATTCCCTGATTATAAGCGATTAAATTTCACAGTCATACAATTCAAATAAAATTATTGTTTTGTATGCTTTAATATTATATTTTGACATAAAAGCTCGGAAGATTAATTTGCTTCATGGAGACATGCAAGATATTCAGCTGTGAGATGGAGGCTGTCATATTACCATACAAGGAGGTGATAAGGACACAGAAGGAAAATTTTCCTAAAGAATACCGCCTTCTTCACCAAGTCTTAATTTTCCCTCTGCCATGCTTTCTATGTCATTCAATTATCCTGACAATTTCAGCCATGCATGTCCTTTCCTCCCATGTGGCCAGGCTGTGGTATGCCCCCCTGCCCTTGCCTAATGTCCACCTTCTTCTCCATTTGTCCAGTGAAGGTTCTGCCTTCACTGACTGGTACCTCTGAAACGTCAGTAAACTTCTACCAGACTACGTGGTGTAACGATCAGAAGACACCCGTTTTCGTACTTGCTGCAGTAAGAACCTAAAATCCCATCTAAAAATCTTGTCCCAGTAGGCCCTTTATACTTTCCAGGACTGGAAACAGGACTTCACTCATAAACAAACATAATCCACTACTTTAAAATAACATTACTAAAAAAAGTAGGTAATGTAAATAAAAATTTTGTCGCCAGAAATCAGTTTAAGTTACTTCTGTTCATGCTTTTGAACCAAAACTGCAGATTAAAGGTTATGCTCGAATATATTAAAAGAAATTATATTTTAAATCAAGTATTCAACACTTATTAGATTTATCAACATAACCCAAAGAAATCTTTCATAAATTCCAGGTTTGTGAAACTCACATATTACTTACACTGTCATTATAAAGATGGTAGCATTACCTGATCTTTATTTTCCTCTTTAGCAACAGACTGTTTTATTTCTGACTTCACATCCTCAGATGAAATGTCGCATACGGAAGCTTCTTCCAATTCTTCCACTTTGTAAGCAACTTCTGGTTCTGGTTCTGGTTCTTGCTCTTCTTCTTGTTCTTCTTCTTGTTCTTCTTCTTGTTCTTCTTCTTGCTCTTGTTCTTGTTCTGGTTCTGGTTCCTTCTTAATCAGAGATTCTGAATCAGTCTCTGCTTTGAAGCTTGCATCTGTCTGCGAATTCATCTGTAGTTCAGATTCATTCTGTGATAATTCCATGTTTGACTCTTCTGCTGTATCACCACCTAGCACTTCATCTCCCCCAGTCTCTCCTTCCCTATTTCCTTCTTTTACACCTGAAACAATATATTCAATTACTATATTGGAAATAAGAAAAAGAAAAAAATGCCTTCAATTTTTAACGTGCAAATTTCCTAATGACCAATATCATATGGAATGAAACCTGGGTCAAATGTTTTGAACCCATGGTTACGGAGCCGTCAACCACAAAATTTCTTCAAGCAAAGACTTCAAGGAACGCAGCACAAAAAAACATTTTTTTTTGGGATAAGGATGATGTGATGATTGTGAACTTCTTACCTCAAATCACTGTGGTAAACTTCAGATTGTTACATGGAGACATTAAGAAAATTGAAAATTTTGCGAATTAAACCCACAAAGAAATATCTGAGCTTCTGTTCCTTCATGATAAAAGCAGTCCCCACACAAAAATGTGTGCCACAGAGATGACAAAATTTATGCACTGTGATGCCTCACCCTCCACATATTTCAGACTATCAACCGTTTGGTCATTGAAAGGACTTCACAGACATCCTTAATGAGGATGGCTACACACTCAATAACGCTATGTGACAGTCACTGAAAAGCAAGGAAATGTCATACCAAGTCAACACAGTCCACAACCCAACCTTTTCAGATTTCAATAAAAGTTGGCAGGCTTGTAGATTCCAAAGAAAATAGTAATGGTGCCAAATTTCAACGCCCTATATATCATGCAGTTCCTGTAGTGCATGAAAAGGGAACTAAAGTTTCCAAAATGGCAATTTGGAGAATTTTAAAGGAAGTTCCCTGCATTTATACTTTCAATCTCCATGAAAGTATAAATGCAAGGAACTTCATTCAGAATACCTGGCAAGATATACAAAGTACCAAAACATGCGACAGACACAAGCTTTTCAATAAGTGTGTCATTCAGTGCGTAATTCATGAATTCTGACTATACGGTAAGGAGTTTATATAGTGGCTTTATACACGCTTTACAATTGATTAAAATTTGAGTAAGACAGTACTGCCTTCCTTGAATTAGTTACGCTTAAGATGGGCCTGTGGTAGCTGAAATAAGTTATAAATTTTTTACATTGTAGAGTATCAACATTTCGTGCAAACACCATATCTATACAAGATTTTGATCTAGTAGTACTACATTGAGGATTTGACATCAACATTAAGCCAAACGTTTCCTCCATAAATGTGACAAAGCTTTGATTTTCCTCCTTCTTTAAATCAATGTTAAAATCTCCTGTCAATATTATCGGCATTGTATTAGGATCTTCTGTGGCCATAACGTTAAACATCTTTGTATAATTTCTCAAATGACTCAAAATAAATCTCTTACAATCATCAATATATTCCCTTGTATGTTCAGCATTAGTTTTTGGTAACATTAGGTTGATTATATAATACTTCAATTTTTTTTATGTTTTCTGTACTGTCTCATATATTCTGCTTTATGGAGTCTTTTAGCTTCAATGTCATCCATCTTGTACATAGTATGACGCAACAAATTAATGCAACAATAGATTTATCAAAATCTAAAACTTCTTGACAATGGTAAAGAGTCAATTGAATAAAATTTTTCTTGGATATTATCCATCGTCTAGTAAATATAAAACGTAAAATGACGTTTCGGAGATGGGACTCTATCTCCGTC